TAGTGTGAGGGATTGCTGAAGAGTCAATGAGTCGTTGAAATCAGCTGGTTTTCCTTAGATAGAAAACTGAATTAATCTGACTGGATGATCTGGTGAACTGGAAAGTACGTTTAGATGACGTGTTGTGAATTGGCGCTATAGAAATAAACTGAATAGAACAGAATTTCTCTTTAGCAGCATTTTTTTCCTCTGCATAGCCCGTCTATGTTTGTGCAAGTCTAATTTTCTCGTGTTTGCAGTACTCCTCTTAACTGCTGCGTCTTTATATACCTGCAGTGCATTTGCACCTCCTGTACACCAAACCTTCTTTATCAATCTGGAGAATTGTAATTTTTGTGTTTATTTTTTGTTTGTTTCTCCTTAAGCGGAGGGTTACTTACGTGAGCAGCTGGGCGTTGTCGTGCTTCTTGCGAGATTTCAGCTTCTGCCTCCATTGGAGGAAAGACCAGAGGGTGGCGTTTGGTTCTTCGGAGATGATGCACTGATCTCTGTCGGTCCAAACTTCCAGGCCAATTAGAGGCACACGGATGTTTAGATCTCTATAAAACTAAAAACACACAAAAATATCATTAAATATTAGTGAGTGTGTCCTGATATAGTTATGATCATAACCTCCCTTCCCTCACACACACACACACACACGGTTTGCTCCAGCCTTTTTAAAAGCCTCTATCAGAGAATCTGGTCACGCAGGACATTCTCCTTCATCTCCTCTAAAATGTTGAGGGACACGACTGATTTGATCCCAAAGGAAGAGTAAATACTTGTTTTCACTTCTTAATTACTCATTCTTCTCAGACTACAAAAGACAAAAGCTGAGGTACGGTAGTCGTGCATAGCATTAGGAATGAGAAGGCCGTGGTACGCAATCATTCACCTCGTTTAATCAGCTGCAGGTTTTCCCATCAAACTTACCTTATCCACATAATTGGCGATCTCCATTATTCTCGCCTTGGTTTTTTCATAGTTCCTATCCTGTCGTCTGAACTGCATGACAGAGAGAAAACACAGTATTAACGTTATGGAAGCAATCATGTTCTAAACAAGATCCTGTAAAATCGCCATGTGGACAAACGCCTCTGATCCAATCTGTTCATTTAATATTTAACGGCTGTAAGTCTGATATATTAAAAAGTAAAAAAAAATACCGGGAACACATTTTTATTTCTAAAACACAACAAACAAAATCCTGTTTTCAGATATTTAATAAAGTGTAAAAATAGAAGTCTGCATCCTGATAGTGTTTACTTAGTTCTTTTTGAGCCTGGAAATAATTTTTGCACGAGGAGAATCAGTAAACCTAAACACTGGTGTCTGTTGTCATTATCTGCAGGCAGCTCTTATCCATGCATCCATAAACTTGGTAGCATTAGAAAATAATATAATATAATTATAATTATAATTATACTATGACGCATGCGTGTAAGAAAAAAAATGCGGTTAGATCTTAAAGATG